TAAATCATTTTTAAAATATCAAACACTGCAAAACATTTATTTGAGATAGATTTATTTTTCAGTTAGATTTAAGTCTTATAAATGCTTCAATCATTTTTTTTGTATTATTACTCCCAAGGTTATGTGTGAAAAACAGTTTGTGATATTTTAAACCTCCTTTTTTGGAGACTGACTTATAAACAAAAAGTTTTTTTTATTATTTAAATGTAGTGTGCAAGGCTCTAGATCAGGTGACACCACTTTTTTCATACCTTACAGTTTTTTCTTTTATTGTTTATTTTCAAACACAGCAAGTCCGTACTAGATGTTATTTATCAAGTTATATTACATTATTGGAACTAGGTCGGTGTGAGCTACTTCTCCATTGTTTATAATAAACTTCTTTTCAGGGCTTGGAAAGTATTCTTTCTTTGGTATATGGATGTTTGTGCAAACAAGCTATATGAGCTATATATTTTATTTTCTCCACTCTTATACTTGCTGCCTCATTTACATTGATGTTAGGGTTTTGTGTTGACAGAAGTAGGTAATATAAAGTATTATTTTATATTTATTATTTTACATTAGAAGCATCAACTTCTCCAGATGTTTGGAAATGGGATTACATCTTCCATCTATATGAAAAGTTAAGACTTCTACAGAAGAATTTCTTTCAAAGATGTTATCCTCAGAGTTATCAACTGATTTAAATCATAGTTAAAAGAGTGGTTATAAAGTATTTTAAATCAAATTGTAATTTTATGGTATTCTTAGACGTTATCTATTGTTGTGAATATTACAATTTATTGAAATAATCTTTGAAACTCTCACTGTGATGTAATTTTGTTCTTTTGATCCAGTCAAATTGATTCTGTGGTTTTGAGAAAAAGTGTTTTTATACATTCATTTGGTGGTTGATTTAACTAATATTTAATAATTTTTTGTGGCCTTTATAACAGCTCATTAGCTCAATGTGTGTAATTTGGTGTATTGGTAGTAAGATTAGTGATTAATTGACATTAGACAAATAAATATTATTCAAGAAACTGTTATTTGTTTTTTATTTATTTTCTCATAGCTGTAGATTGTGAATGTTCTACATAACTATCATACTGGGACAGTTTTAGGTTCAACACGTATACCTAAGTAAGGGCACTCTCCTAAAATGTCATGTAGATGTTTAAATTTCCAATCAAATTTCTTTCTTCTTCAAACAGCACAGTGGTTTATTCTAACTGTACCAATGTTAATTTCTGTCCACCTTATGTATAACTTAAACAGTTGAAAACATTTTAAAATAATAAAAAGTTGCAGGAAACATTTTCCTCACTTTTACTCAAGTTATATTTTTTTCATTAATTTATATGTTAAATATTATAAAAGTTTATGATGATTAGACACTTTTGAAATAATCTATATTTGAGGCTAAATATATGAACACATTTTTAGTGATATGTTGTAGTAAACATGGACACTATGTAAATCCTTTTTCATTTCTTAAAAGTAACTTTAATAAGTTAGATTTTGCTAGGTTAAAAATGCTTTATCCAAAGATTGTGTCACAAGTTATGTAGACAAAATTCCAGATGTTAGCAGTGTTTATGTGAAAAAGTCAAGCTAAAAATGTGAGTAGAGCTTTTAATATTTTATTGATAAAGAAAGCAATAGAATATTATTTTATTATGTACAGAGCATTTAAATATAGATAATTTTTTTCTTACCATTCTAATATAAAGATGTATGTTAATATGTTTATTAAAAAGTCAGTTAACAAGGCTTTACTGCATACTTGACCCTAAAAAACAAAAGATTAACATTCTCTTATCAAAAGTATAATAAACCTACATTTTTGTTATTATTTTCTGTGGAATGTTATAGACAGAAATATGGTCTGTGAAAAACAAAATGCTTTCATAACATATGTTATATTTTGTAAATGCTTTTTTATTTTCTGAAACATTTTCCAAGAAGCTGTACAGAAAAATAGACATCTTAATAACATATGCTATATATGTCAGTAGTTAACTACTCCCTTTTTAGCAAACTTGGATATGATCATATGAGTGTTTTACTGAGTACCTATGTGTTATAGAATAAAAAATTTAAAAGTTAAAAATATGCAACTACTATGATACTACTGTGTTTAATGCAAATTTAGATCTATTGGATGATTATTTAATAGGAATAAGAATCAAAATTTCCAGCTTAAATATGGAGATGAAAAAAAATTAATTTCTGTTTGAACCATAAAAATTTTATTTTTAATATCATATTATAGAGAACTCTTAAATAATCTTTCAAATAACTGGCAGCACTAAATACACTTTATAAGAAAAAATTTGACACACAAGTGTAAGCATAGTTTAGTGTTAACAGACAGATTATGGGTATTTTTTAAAACATTTTTGAGACTTACCAGAATTGAATTTTATCTTACCCAACAATTCAAAAATAAACTAAAGTTATGCATTTGTTACTCTGACTAAAATGAGTTGAGTTTCTTTTGAATCCATTGTTTTGTTATCAATTTTTTCAATGTTAAAGGAATGTGTTTGTGAGTTGTACTGAAGTGTTGTAATTTTAAAATTTTCATAAACAATGTAAAATTTCTATTTGCTAGTATGTGTTACAGTGTATTAATATTCAGGTTGATTTGAATAAGACACCGTTGCTTTATGAGGACCAGTGTTTATACAGATTCTTTTCTTTTCTGGGTTAAGTGAAGTTAATAAATATGGAGTTCAGCAACTTTTTATAAAATTAATACAAGTTTAAGAAATTTCTCTTTATTATAAATGCTTGATGTAATAGAGTATTTAATGCAAGCTCTTTTTTTTTAGTCTATACAATTTTAATCATCACAGAGTAGCCTGTCTAGAACACTGTAACTTTCCTTCAGAAAATTGTTAAGAGTATTACTAGGGTAAAATAATGTCAGAATGGCTTATAAGATAAGACAGAGGCATTAAACAATAGGGAAGAGTTTGATGTGAACTCCAAACTTTTATATACTTTGGTAAAGTTTAAAAGAGTTGGTTTTACTTGCAGTTAAGTAAATAAATAACAGGGTATAAAAATACTGTTATAGATAATTATGAGTTTATGCTAAAAGACAATTTTGAAAAGGACACGAAATAAACATGTACATTTTTTTTTATGTCCACCGTATCTTTCTTAACACTTACTATACTCAAGTTGATAGGACAAATATGCTAATGAGTATTGTTTGAGTATGATTACTGCTCATAATGTTGAGACAATCAGTTATTCACTTAATCTATATTTTTTTAAACTTAAAACTGCAACTGTTCAGGAAAGTGTTATTCATTTTCAGTCATTGCTTCCAAAACATTTTTTCAGATTTGTCATCACAGTCAAAACCTTTCAAGATTTGGAAATGTAAGAAATGCTGTAGAAAATTTTCATTTGCTGCAGGATTAAAGCAACACATGGAGATGCACAATGATGTCATCCACCGCTGTCCTGTGTGTCCCCAGACCTTCAAATGGAAAAACAGTATCTATCAACACATAAGAATCAAACACAGAACACCATCTTCTGACTGAAATATGTGCAGGTTTAAGGATACCAGTATGAATAACAAGTTTTAATAGTGCATATGGCAGAAGTGTTTGTTTCTTCTAAGATCAAGAAATGGATATTTGTGTGTCACATTAAAAAGAACAACTGTTCTATGGCAAAGTCATTCATGTGAATTATTCCATCAATATTTATATACTGTGTCAAATCACCTTAAGGTTTTTTTGTTGTTGTCGTAAATTTCAATTTTAAACATACTTAAGGAACATCTGTGTTGATTATAACTAAAATACTCTTTTTGGCTTACTGTGCATAACTCTTGTTATGATAAAAAATGACTGCCAATATACAACTTAATTGGTTACTTTTGATTTATTGTATTTTGTATTTACATACATACAGAGACATGGAATGAATTTCAAGCTGGGGTACTGAAAATGGGAGATGGAGACGATGTATAATTTAAAAAATTATTTTTTAAATATATTGAAAATAGTAATTTTTTGTGCATTTCATAATTATATTCACAAATCAAACTAAGAGAATTTTATAAGTGGCAGGTAATGCAAAAACTCAGAAACTTGAGTCAAAAATGTAATTTTTATGTAACATTAAAAACTAACAAGACAATGCATTATCTATGCAAAACAGGTGTTACATAAATAGAAAGCAAGGATCTCCTTAGATGCCTTTTGAAAATACTCACATAAAAATATAGTAAATTGAGCCTACACAGTCTAGTATTATTTTTAGCTAGCTTATTGATCTGTTTGGATTAGGCTACTCAAAAAATAGGTTCACACTCCAATGTCAGGCTTACGAAATTTCTCATAAGGGAAGCAACATCTAGAATGTCAAGTACGTCACTTTGGACATGCATTAGAGCACGATTTGTCTGTTTTTAACTTGTGATGCTTATCCTAATTTTAAAGCATCTCATAGCAGAAAAGGATTCTCATGTCCTGCAATAAATACTGGCCAAGCAGGCCAAAGTTTAATCAAACTGTCAACATCATTTAACATCTGTTGTATATGTGGCTCTAGAGTGCTAAAAAAATCATCCCAGTAAGCCACACTCCTTAGATCATTTTCCCTGATTAAATCAACCAGTATTATTAACCGAAGTTGTAGCCTCTGCCTACTGATCTGTTGTGACTGAGGATAGTGTGTCATCCTCAGGATTCCAGACTGTGATGCTTGCTGATGCAGAATCCAACAGGACTTTGTCCCTTTGGGCTGCAATGTGCATGCTCT